TCTGGCTACATGGAACAATTATTGATGTACCTAAGGAGAAATAGATGCCACTACAATAATACCGGGACCTCAACACCCTGTTAACATCAATAGAGAGACTGATGAGACAGAAACATAGCAAAGAAGCAACAGGTCTCACACAGTCAACCAACAGACTTAATGCTAATTTGTTTCAAGGATTTAAAAAAAAAATTTGTTTTATTAATTGCATTGCATTATGTGACAAAGTGTTATGGGCACTGGGATTCCTCCCACCCCTCCCCAAACATTCTCCCCATGGTGGATTTCTCCACCTTGCTGCGTTACCACAGTTCAAATTCAGTTGAGGTTCTTTCATTGGAAGTATTTACCAAGCATAAAGTCCAGTGTCTTATTATCCTAGTGGGTTCAATGATTTCTTGGTGAGACCATCTCTGGTCTGAAGCTAAAGCCAGCAAAGTATCATCCCAATCAGTTAAAAGCCCCAACATAACACCAACAGCCATTTACAACCTTATGGCATTAATTGACATGGAATTGGTTAATAGTATGTTGATAGGAAAATGCGGTTTCTTAACTACATCCTGTGACTTCTTCATAGACATTGCCATTTTGTTTTATATTCAACCTGATTCCATACAATTATCAGTTTAGGTGCAGTACATTTTTTTTAGGATGTGTGTGCAGAGACATTCCCAATACCCCAGTGAGGCATAACTAATTTTTGTGTCCCACCTAGTGAGGCATGTTTGGGTCCACGCTGGGCGTTTCCTGTCTGATTCTAAGCTTCCCATGTTGTTGTCTGTCCATTCTAGATTTCTTGTTTGTATGTTTGTTTGTTTGTTTTGAGGGGTTACTGGAGCGATCCTAATAGTCACCGCGAGGGAGGGTGGGAACCCAGAACCAGAGCCAGGCAAGGACCAGAGAGAGCTCTCCTCCCTAGTCCCGAAGGAAGTTTATTATTCTTCTGTTTCTGCAGATCGCTCAGGGCTCCTGGCCGTTGTTCTGATGCCACGGGTTTCTGTCCAGCAGAGTTTGGACTTCTTCCATCCCCTGTGGAGCCTCCAGATGGGGGTGGGTGACCTCAGAGTTCTTGGCCTCTAAAGGCACTCTTATTCCCGTGGTCTCCTTAGCAGTTGGGATGTAGTCCTTGGTGTCTGTGTTAATGGTCTTTGGTGAGGATCTGGGAGTCTTCAGGGTTGGGATGCGAGTCTCCCCCTGACCTCTCACTCCACTCTGGGGTCTCCCCTCTGCTCCATACGCATGACCTCCTGATAAGAGGCTTTCAGGGTCGCTCCCGATTTCCCCCTTATGCCTGTGTAGCTTTACTATTGTCTAGTGCTGACTCGAGTCTGTTGTCTATGGGTTATCAGATTTGATCCTGGTAGGCTATATTTCACGTCTTCCTCTCACTTTTTAGGGAGATGGAAGATTTCTCTGCATTCCCTCCCCATTATGGAGTAACATAGGGTATTATGAGTGTTTTAGATTTTACAGTTCTTTGATGTGGATCATAAGCATTCTGACTCACATTAATTGTTGTTTTATAGGTTACAACGCATTATCTTATTGCATTGGATACATGTAGTAGTTTCACATAGCAGGTTGCATCTGGACTTGGAGCATAAATGTTAAGAAGGGTAATTTCTTCCTGATGGATCCTGCCTTTCAACAATATATACCGGCCCTGCCTGTCCTTTTTGATGTTTGTTATGTTGAAGTTTGTTTCGTCCACAATTAGAATCACTGCACCGGCCTTTTTTTCCTGTCCATTGGCGTGGAATATCCTTTTCCATTCCTTCACTTTCAGTTTCTTAGCGTCTTTTCTGGTTAGATGCCTCTCTTGTAGGCAGCAGATAGTTGGGTCTTGTTTGTTAATCCAGTCTGCCAATCTGTGTTCTTTGACTGATGAATTGAGGCCATTTGTGTTAAGGGTTATTATTGAGAGGTTGTGATTTTGTCCTGCCATGAGCGTGTGTCTTTGAAGATGTTGGTTTCTGAGTGTCTTTCCTTGTGTGAGCTTTAATGTGGTAGTCTTCCCACTTGCCATCCTTGCTTGTGGTTTGGTTCTTTTTTCTCTGGAAGTAGTGCATTTCTGAGGAGATTCTGTAGAGCTGGTTTTGTGCTGGCATATTCTTCTAATTTCTCTTTGTTATGGAAGTATTTAATTTCATTCTCGAATACCAAGGAGATCTTTGCTGGGTACAATATTCTTGGTTGGCAATTGTTCTGTTTCAGTATTTGAAAGATTTTATTCCATTCCCTTCTTGCCTGGAGCGTCTTTTCTGAGAAGTCAGTGGTGATTCTGATGAACCTGCCTCTAAATGTAAGCTTGTCTTTGCTTCGTGCCAGCCTAAGGATTCTTTCTTTGTGTTCATTGGAGGGGAGCTTGATAACCACCTGTCTGGGAGATCTTTCTGGGTCAATCCTGTGGGGTGTTCTCTGACCTTCCTGGATTGGGACTGTGCTCACGTTCCAGGCATTTTGGAAATTCTCCTGTATGATTTCGTTGAGCACTGGTTGTATGCCTGTCTCTCTTTCCACTCCTTCTGGGAGCCCCATAATTCTGATATTTGACTTCCTCATGTGGTTGTTCAACTCTTGGAATGCCTTGGATGCCTTGTGTAATTGTGTCTCCAATTGGTTAATGATATGTGTGCTTTCATTCTGGGAGTCTTCCATTTCAGATATCCTATCTTCTGTTGCAGCAATTCCGTTGGATAACCTTTCGATGTGTGTTTGAGGTGTTGAATTTCGGTTTTGAGTAATTTTGTTTCTGTAATTATATGAGTTTTGAATTCCTTAAGGTCCTCCCATCATTTTTCGTTGTCTCTGAAGAGTATAATTATTTTACTGAACTCCTTGTCTGATACATCTTCAGTTTCTTCATCTGTAATCTCTGCGATTGACCGGGCCTTTTGGTGAGTTTTTGGGGAGGCACTGGCTCCTTCCTCTGGTTCATTTATCTTCCTTCGCCCCATGGTTATCTCTGCTGCCACCTAGTGGATGACCTGAAGTCTTGCTGGTCTAGTTTTTTGGTTTTTTTGTTTGTTTGTTTGTTTGTTTGTTTGTTTTTGTCTCAAGTTCCTCCTGCTACTGACCAGACCTGTTTTTCTCTGTGCTTGGGACTCAACCTAATTGTGCTAACCTGTGTTAGCCAGGTTTGGCCACCTGCTGGAGGGGGAGCGGAGGGTTCTCTTTGTTTGCCTTTCACTGAGGGAGGACCGCTTCGGTGTCACATGTGTCATCCAGTAGCATCAATTCCCACAAGAAGGTTTTGATTTCCATCACTCCAGTGACACATTGCTGTTTCTGTAGCATGTTGTTTAGCTTCATACTGGTGACAATTTTGTTTTTCTCCCTGTTGCAGACTGTGTTTTCTGGCTCTGTATATAAGGGGATGTATATTAGAAGGGCAGCTTAGACTGACAGGTCCAATTTTGAGACATAGTGCAGTATGTCTCTGCATTAAGTCCAAAGATGGACTCCCAGGGAAAATGTTGAATAGGCTCTGATATTAGGCGGCTGATCTCTCTGACATTGTTCATGCCTACAATGTCAAGAAACACTTCAATAGCAGAATGAACTTATGATTGTTCATGAAGGTCTATCCATTGTAATAAGAGAAGGGAAATCTGTATTGGGGAGGGGAGTTAGGGAGGGGAGATGGAAGTCCTGGAGCCTATGGAACTATATCATATAATAATAATAATAATAATAATATAATTCCAGTAAATAGCAGGACCGCTTGTTCAGTACCCAGGGATGTGGACTTGGTCACTGAATGTCATTTCACGATCCCTGTTGCAGAGCATGCTCTGAGGGTTCCGCTTAGGTGGTTCGGATGGCTCTGAGATGCTGCTTATCTCACCAATTCAAGGAAGCAGAAATCCTTCCAAAGTCCTTTGGCTTCATAGTCCAAATTAGTGTCTCCATTCATCCAGATACATGCTGTTAAAGCTTGGCTGGAGTAGTTGTCTTCTTTGTTCTGCCCTCCTTCCTCTGCTATGGTACCAGATGTCCTCTGCAGGCTCCAATGGACGGTCACAGCCTCCATGCGCATCTGGACATGACATCCATCACACCATCTAAGCTATTGAGGCCCAGTTCTAACACATGCAGTCCATGAAGTCCACACATACTGAAATTCTCCACATTGTTGGAGTTCTGAGTCCAGCTGTTCAGTTTGGAAGATCCTAAACGAAACCTCATCTGGGGTGATCTCAGATCAGATTCCATAGTCAACATGGATTAGTAGATCTAACTGTTCTCGGCACATGAAATAAACTCACAGCTATATGTCATTAGTGTTATACTAATCAATTTGATTATAGTGATCATTTCTTCATAAGCTTTCTATCTCAATATCTTACATATGACTAAAATATATACACATTATGTCACCAGATAAATTCCATCAGAATGAATCCCCTTCGTAATATAAAAGGGTAATTGTTGATTTGTAGATGAATTTGTTGCAAAAATATCATTGTATTGCACCTGTTTTTTCAATGAGAGTAAATATCCATTTACAAGGATGGTTTCTGAAAAATATGGGCTTTCCTGGAGATTTACGTCATTTCGAGTGACCTTCTTCAGCTAAAGCAACTGTCAAACAACAAAGAGAAAGAGATTTGGGAATGACATATGAGTGGAACGAATGCCTCACTCTTGATGAGGAAATACTGTTGTCTATTTGGTTTTTAAGAGACTCATTTGGAACAGAAAAGGAAAAAAATATATCACAAATTGTTTTCTATGCAGTTACTCAGCATCCCTAAACGCAATCTTCATTTTAAATGCAAATCTGTTTATGACATGTAGTAAGTGCTAATCAGCAGTGCCCTTAGGTATGGACACACAGTGTGGTTTTATTTAAATTCAATGATTAGTGATTTTTTTTAAACACATCCCAAATCTGAAGCAGGCAGAATACAGTCAATGTTACATGAAAGTCTACATACAATGCAAAGTAGTGTGTAATTTCTAACAGCTACTTCTCTGTATGAACTTTTATGCAGGTCACTTACTCAATCAAAATTGGAAAAGAGAAATTCACGCTTCTTCTTGAAAGACAGTAAGTGGTCTGCTTTATTTTCAGCTAATTGCTATTAGTGTCTTAATTTCTACAGTCAGTATCTTAAATTGCTTTTGACAGAATATCAATTTTAGAGTTAAATCTCATTATGTAGCCAAAATCTTATTTATGAATGAAAATATGAATAAAGTTCTGATGAAAATATAATTCTATAAGTCTTTAAAGTATGCCGTAAGCATGACAATCAATGATATGACTTTTATGTGCCCATGTTTACTAGTTTTCATCATGCCTGTCATGTCACACAGCTGTCTGATTGTCACCATTTTACTAGATAGTGCAGATGTAAGGGTAAAATTGCTGCAGAGGTAAAGAATGAGCCACCCCAGTGCCAGTAAAATCAGTCAGGCTTTGAAGATGATTTCAATGTTAATTTAAACTGCAGACACAAGAAAAACCCAAGCTTCACCGTTCGTGATAAATTCTCATGTGAGAAAGAAAAATGAAACATTAAAAGCTCATTAAAAATGCTCATTAAGAGCAGTCAACTGTCACATAAATAGTTAACTCCAGAACTTCCGTTCCCACAGAAGTAGGGTGTGAGGAGTTTGGCATTGTGGTATACCAGCTAGGGCCACTGCCTGGGGTGTTGGCATTGCATAGAGGCACCAGTTGGAGTCTGGTATAATTGGCTGCATAGCCAAATCCTTTTCATGTGCCTACAAAGGCAGTGGAGGGTAGTGAAGTGCTTGGCCCCATAGCCATGTGGGATATTAAGAGGAAGCTCCTAATTCCTATAAAATTATATTTATTTATAACACTAATATACATATACTTATAGCTAATATAGTATTAATATTATATATATATATCATTGTACTGAATATTAAGAACAGAAGATACCTGAGATATACATAGAATCTTCATAACTATTACAAGCAATTATATGTTCACAAATCAGAAGACGTAGAGAAATGGACAGATTTGGGGGTGATACAATCTACCAACATTGAATAATATGGAAATTCATAATATAAAAGGGCTATAACAAGATCTGAGATTGAATTAGTAATTAAAAAATCCCAACCAAGAAAAGCCCTAGACTAGATGGTTTCAAAGCTGAGTTCTACCAAATACTTCAAGAATTTACCTCATACAATAGTTTAGGGCACACTGTGTCCCAGGGAACTGCCTGACAATGGTTTTGTCTGAGACGTCTAACTGTCCTGTTCACTGACTTGCAGCAAGAGCAGTGGGCTGCACACCATTCTTTCTCCCCTGTCCTTCCTTGGATGAGCAACACTTGCTGAAGACACCAAACTTCATACAGTTTACCTCAGACAATTCCATACAATAGAATTGGAGGCAATCCTTCCAAACTCTTTCTTTGAAGCCAACATCACCTTAATAATAAATACAGAGACACAATAATAAAAGAGAACAATAATCTGATATCCCGGATGAACATAGACGAAAAGATCCTTAACAAATTACTAGTAAAAAAGACCCAACAGTACCTATGCAAATTATTTACCAGACCAGGTGAGATTTATCCCGGCATGCAGGGGTGGTTTGACATATGCAAATCAGGGTCTGGAAAGGTAGCTTAGGGGCTAAAGTCCTTGCCTTGAATGTGCCAGGATCCCATATAGGTGCCGGTTCTAATCCCGGCAGTTCCACTTGCCATCCAGCTCCCTGCTTGTGTCCTGGGAAAGCAGTCAAGGACGGCCCCAAGCCTTGGGTTCCTGCACCCGCCTGGGAGGCCTGGAAGAAGTTCCTGGCTCTTAGCTTCAGATTGGCATAGCACCAGCCATTGTAGTCACTTGGGGAGTGAATCATCCGATGGAAGATCTTCCTCTCTGTCTCTCCTCTTCTCTGTCTATCTGACTTTGCAATAAAAATAAATAAAGCTTTAAAAAACATATGCAAATCAATAAATGTGATATAAAACATCAACAAATTGAAAAATAATAACCTATGACCATCTCAATAGATGAAAAGAGGACATTTGATAAATACCACTTCAATTAAAAGCCCTAGTCAAAACAGGCATAGAAAGAACATTCTACAACACAAAGCAATACATGAAAAATCTAATGTCAGCATCATACTGAAAGGGAAAAGATTGGAAGCTCTTGCACTAAGATCTGAAACTAAACAAGATTGTCCATAATCACCACTGCTATTCAATATAATTACATTTCAAGTCCTCACTAGAGCTATTAGGAAAGAAAAATAAATTAAAGGAATTCAAATCAGAAAAGAAGAATTAAAATCAACCCTCTTTTCAGATGATATGATTCTCTACATAGGAGAACCAAAAAATTCAATCAGGTGACTAGGAAATCTTAAGAAAATTTTGCAGAATATCAGCACACAAAATTTTAATTAAAATTAAATATCAGCACACAAATAAATCCATGGATTAGAACTTATATTAAGCTAATCAAAAATGTGGAAGACTTCTATGATGAAAATTATGGAACAGCAAGAAAAAATAGAAGGCCTTAAAACACGGAAACGAACCACGTTCTTGGATTGGCAGGAAAAACATCATCAAAATGTACACGCTACCAAAACTAATATACAAAGTTAGGGTTATCCCAATCAAAATATCAACATTCTTCTCAGAAATGGAAAAGATGATAGAAAAGTTCACCTGGAAACACAAGTGACCATGATTAGTCAAAGCTGTCCTGAAGAATAAAATTAAAGCTTGAGGAATCATAATTCCAGAGCTCAGGACACTGGTCACACTGTAGGACACTGGTCATCAGAATCGTCTAGTACTGGTACAAAAGCAGAAAAGAAGATCAATGGAACAGAATAGAAATTCCAGAAGGGAACTAACAGATGTATAACCAACCAATCTTTGCTGAGAAAACTGAAGAAAACAAACAAACAAAAATATTGGAAAAGTTTGGTGTCTTCAGCAAGTGTTGCTCATCCAAGGAAGGACAGGGGAGAAAGAATGGTGTGCAGCCCACCGCTCTTGCTGCAAGTCAGTGAACAGGACAGTTAGACGTGTCAGACAAAACCATTGTCAGGCGGTTCCCTGGGACACAGTGTGCCCTATGCTTACAACTTCCCACACAGGCTAAGCACGCAGAGGTCCAGCAGTGATATCTCTCACTGCTTTACTTGCCTTCACAGAGTCCTAGAACCATTATGTTTGGCCTTTTGGTGGTGTCAGATAATTCTTGGATGGTTTTCCTAGCTTTACTCAGTTTCTCTCTCATATTTCTCACCAGACATTTTCTCCTGAAGTGTCTTCCACTTCTGATATTTGTTCTTATGCCGCATTAATTCTACTGTTGAGTTTCCATTGCTTTTTAATTTGCTCGTTGAATTTTTTCGTTTATGTTTTTTGTTTGATTTTGTTCCAATGCTGCTATCTGCTGCTTAATAAATTCCTTGAACTCTGCTTCTGATTTGTGAAGAATTTCATGATAATGATCTTTAAATATTCTTTAGCTGTTTTTCAGCTAATTCTGAAATCGAAACAATTTTTTTTTCTCCTTTGTAAGGGAAAAGTCAGTTTTCAGGGTTGCTCATATTTTCCCTTTAGCCATCTACCTAACATTAGTATTTTTCCCTTGGCAGATGTTGCTTTTTTATGTGTGTCATCCACAGGTCTGCAAGCTGACTTTACTGGGTACTGACTGTCCAGTACCCAGAACTCCACGGTGGCACTCACACCAGTCCCTCCAGTGATTTTTCAACCACAGGCTGGGATCATACACTGCCCTCCTGCCACAGCCTCCACAACCACTGCCACTGTGTTTACCTCTCATGTCTCCACCACTGAGTGCTGAGCCTTTTTCTGAAGGTGCTGGCAGTGCCAGAGCTGAAGAGGCACAGCTGGTTCTCTAAACGGTGTCTAGCACATGTCTGTCAGTGTTGGCTGACTGGTTTTCACTTTTTGCTCTAGATTTGCTCAGTTCCAATATGTTCATTAAAAACATACTGTAAAACTATTATAATTCAAGTAGCATGGTAATGTCATAACAATACATACATCATTTAAACAAAACAGAAAGTCTTTCACCATATACAAAGATCAACTCTAGATGCTATCGCATAGCAGAGTGACAGAATGGAAAAGCCTGAGGCAGAGGCAAAGAGAGATAAGCCTTCAAACTTCTGACTTACGACCTAAACCCCCATGATGTTCAGTGCTGTCCAGGCTGAAGTCAGCAGCCCACGGGCTCGTTGAGGCCCAAGCACATAGGTCGTCCTCTATTGCTTTCCCAGGCCATCTGCACAAGTTAGACCAGTAGCTTGAGCTCAAGATTGATCCCTGAACTTTGTTTCCACGAACTATTCGAAATAATGTGTGTATGTTGGCATAGATGTCTGTATGTGTGAAATAACCCATCACTATTGTTTAGAATATGCTAAACAAAGCAGTTAACATCTGCATTTTATTGATGCTTTAATCAAACCTAAGAATGTTATTGACATTTAGAAAACCTAGCGATTACTTTACATAAATCTGTCTTTGCCAGTTGAGCATTTTAAATCCATAAGTCTAATAATAATTTCTAGCTTTCTTTGCTTCTCATGCTTTTCTTTTAATTCAATAGAGTAGTAAAAAAAAGTACACTAGATATTGTACAGATATGCTGACTTACTTTTGAATGTTTGCTTTTGAAAACTGGAAATAAATTTAATTTGCTTTTATTATTTAAAAAATCATTTTAATTGATATTATTCAATAAAGTATTACTTTTTCATTTAACTAGATCATTTCTACATCCAAATTTTCTGATTTATTCATACAACAAATCAAGAACAGTATACATAGATACTGCATTGTTAAAGGTAAGATATATTAGCTGCTGAATTAATTTTCATTTTCTATGTGGTAAAGTTGTCATTGTTGAGAAGATAATGACTGCCTTAGTGTCTATAAAATTATGTAGCACACAGATCACAAACTCATTTAAAATGAAAACTCCAATGAATGATCATTATTTTCTGAAATCTCTATCTACATAGCTAGCTTAGCGGTTCCTCCCTTTAAAGGAGAGGGATAGAGAGAATCTCCCATCAACTTTATTATCTCCCAAGTGTCCACAAAAATGGAGTGGGGCCAAGCCAAAATTAGGAGCTAAAGACCAAATCTGTGTATCCCTGTCCTTTGATGGGCTGTCAGATCAAATACTATGCTTACTGTGCCCTTGTAGTATATTTGGAATCCAGGAATTGTAATGCTTCTCACATTGTAGATTTCTTTGGGAGAGTGATTTTTTTCATGTTTGCCTCAGTCTTGTAGTTCTACCTGAATTAATTCTCTGGTATATTTGCATAAAAATGTATGGTCATTTTCCTAGTAATTTTGGTGAATCTGTTAGTTTTAGGTTTCTTGTTCTTTTTTTTTTCCTGTAAAGCATGAACTCATTTAAAATGTTATCCGCACTCCCCTCCCCAAGGTATATCTGAGTAAAAACTTACTCTTGCTCTTTAATTCTAACTTGGTTGTTACTGTCAAAACAGCTTCTATCCCAGCCTAATCAGGCTAGCCTCTAACAGTCACTTCTGTGCACTTAGATGGAGATTTACTCTTTTTAGCTCCCATGTATTAGAAAGAACATGCAATCTTTATCATTTAGGGTCTGGCTTATTTCGTACGTCATCCTCATGAGATACAAAGCCCATTTTGAGACAAGTCATAGGAGTTCATTATCCCATGGTTATAGAATATTCCAGTAACTCCACTGACCATACTGACTACACCTCTTGCCTGGTTGCTGTCGGTAAGAGCTTCCCTACTGTGGTAACCGAGCTAGTCAGGGAACTCACTGCTGCTTTACTCCTGACTGTGGAGGGAGGAGACACCGAGTTTGATATTTCACATGGGATCGTTATTGTCAGGAAGTGGTTTTATCCTGTTGAACCATTTTACAGTGAAATGTTTTATGTACAGCTACTGAGATTTCCATGTAAACGTGATCGTTTATTCTGTGATGTGGTAGGTGATCGTCGTTGGTTTCCTTGTTTTCAGTAATCTTTGCATTCTAAGCACAAATGTCATGTACTTACAGTGTATAACCCTTCCAAATGGCTGATGGGCTCACTCTGCCAAAAGGTTATTAATCAATCTTTGCATTCCGTGTGGATCATCGGTATCGACCTATGTATTTCTCATCTTGTGTTGGATGTTCCTGGCTTCCATGCAATTACAGTGACGGCCTCATAAAGTGAGCTTAGTGCTCATAACACACTCCTTCTGTGTTAGGTTTTCAGACTGTTTGAGGATTCTTCACAGGTATTTTCTAAGTGTTTCACAGAATGAACAAGTAGAGTTTCCTTTTTCTGGGATTTTAATTGGAAAGTTTATGTCACTGTTACGCTGTCTAAATTGTTTTCACTGCTCACAAGAATTTTGATGCTTTGGCATTCAATATTGGACCATTGTGTGTGTGTCTAGTAATTTATTTATCTTCAACTATCTAGTTTATTAGCACATAATTGTCCTCAGCATTTTCACTGGAATTATTTTCTCTGTGGGGCAGTTATAATGCCTCTGTCTTCATTTCTAAGATTGTTTACTTGAATATCTTTTCTTTTTTTTTCCTTAGGACAGGGAAGAATTTATTAGTTTTATTTTCATTTCAGAAAATTAAATCTTAGTTGGATTGATTTCTTCATAGCGCCTACCAGATTTGTCTTTTGTATTATTAATTATTAGTTTATATCTTTTCTAGTTCTGTTGCTTTCATGCTTATTTTCATCTACATAGTTTAATTCCTCTGTGGTTGTCTACTTTTCCTTCTGTAAAGAATTTCTAGTCCAATCCCCTTGTGCTCAGAAGATATTTTTGGCATGATTTAAGCATTGTTGGTTTGTTACCCAGTGTTGGAGCTCTGGAGAAGAATGTGTAACCTCATGCTTTTGGTTGCAATGTTCTCTGCTTCTCTTGAACCTACTTGAGTATGCTTTTACTCATTTGCTTTGTTTCCTTTTTGAAATCTGCTTCGTTATTTTCATTGAAGTTTCCTGTGGCTGTTGTCTTGATGTTTCTTCTCCTGTGTTAATTTATTAAATAAAATCTATTAATTCTCATTAGAAAGGCAGGTTTACAGAGAGAAGGAGAGACAGAGAGAAAATCTTCTATCTGCTGGTTCACTATCCAAATAACCCCAAAATCTGGAGCTGAGCTGATCTGAAGCCAGGAGCCAGATAATTCTTGCAGGACTCCTACACAGATACAAGGTCTCTGGGCTTCCCAGACCATAAGCAGAGAGCTGAAGGGGAAGTGGGGCAGCTGGGATATCAACTGGTACCCCTATGGGATCCTGGTGTTTGAAAAGAGAGGGTTAGCCATTATGCTGGGCTTTCTCCTGCTTTTGTTTCATAGGTTTATGATTGTAAGTGCACAGGTGTTTGTTACTGCTGATTCTTTTTGTGTTGGTAGTTTGATCCATGGAGCACCTTTCGTTCCTTGTCATAGCTTGCTTCCTTGCACATTCCTAAAGCCTATTTTATGATTTGTAAATTTAGAAGCATCCTCATCCTTCTGGCTACAACTTGGATGGAATATCTTTGAATACCTTCAACTTTATCCTATGTGACCTTAGATCTTAAATGAGTTTCTTACATATGTGTTAGTTTAGTTTTGCTTTCTTATCTGTACACTCAGTTTTACCTTTTGATTGGGAAGTTGAATTCACTTAAATTTAGGACAATAATTGATAGGAAATCATGTTTGCTCGCTTGTTTGTTTGCTTTACGAATCCCTTTGGCATTTTGTGCTTTGGCTTTCATTCTGCTGGTTATCTTTATTTTTCTTAGCTGTGCTTCTGTGTGGTTTGCTGATTACCTTCATTGATGTGCTAGACTTTCCTTTCTTTAGTGATACAGAAAGGTATAGATAGAAACAGAGCAAGAGTGACTGTGAGTAGAAAAGAGAAATCGTGAAATAGTGGGAGAGAGTTGGGGAGAGAGTAAGATGTGGGTATGATATGTCTACTCTCAGGTGATTACATAAAATAGTTACAAAAATCTACTTTAAGTCGATAAAATAATCCCATCACATTTCAAAGAAAACCATTATCATAATTTATCTCACTCATGGTTTGTTTCATGGCATCACACTTTGCATCAGTTTTGTGTTTATTCCCTCATAACACCTTCGAGTCACATTGGCTTAAAAGATATTGCAAATTAAAAGCAATTTATCCACCCCAACTACTGTAATTGTGTACTTTTCTCATGTATTTGTATTTGCATTTTCTAATGAGTTTCATACATTTGTGCTATTATATTCCTGTATAGTTTATTTACATAGGAGCTTGGAAAGTATCCTTTAGCATTGCTACTGAGGAAGACTTAGGATGATTAATTTCCTTTCCCTGTTTTTCTATTTAAATAGACTTTCATCCTTCAACTAAAAAATTTTTATTTTAATGATTTAAGAAAGGCACAGGGAGAGAGAGAGACAGTAGGAAAAGATATCTCCTGTTTATTCCCCAGTAGGCTTATGTTTGGTGGAATAGGAGCAGGGTTGTCTCATGGTTTTGCAGACTAGAACTCTGTCTAGGTCTCCCTTGCAGATGTCAGGGCTTCAACCACATGAGCCGTTTTACTGTCTGCCATGGTCTACATGAGCAAATAAAAGACATGAGGATCAGAGGCAGGATGTGTGACATGGGTATGGTAACTGGTATCTCAACTGCTAGGCCAAAGGGTCACCCTTGTTCTTCACTCTTGAAGGACATTCTTCTTTGTAGAGTGCTCCTGTCTGGTAGAATGTTATATTTTGTGGAATGGCAAGAAAATGGCAGAATATGGTGAGGACACAATACAGTGGACAGAGAAGTGACAGTGAAGGAAAATCAGAGAAGACGCAATCCCAGGTAGTAGTAGTGAGTAGGTCAATGGCAGAGACTCGCTAGAACCCGTGGACATGGGGAAGCATCAGAGACAGTGGAGCAGCACTTCAGGAAATAGATATCCCAAAGTCAGAGACATTTGACAGACAAATAGGGAGGCGAAACCATTGGTGTTGCAGGAAGTAAATCAAGCCATAGACTCATTGGTTTTGCCCTCTGACACTTAAAAACTTTGGAAGAGACAAACCAGAACATCACATAATGATTACAGGATTCATTCAACAAGAAGAAATCACAATCATAAATGTACGAGCATCAAATGCTAGGGTACATTTACATAGATACCTATGTGGATCAGATATTAACAGATTTAAATGATACAGGCCCTAATGTAATAATAAGAGTGGCGCTTAAACCCCAATTGTTGGGCTGTTAAGTTTCAGATTGATGGGACTGAAACTTAGCAAGAAAACAGCAGAGCTCACCTAAGCAGCAGAAGAAAAGAATTTAAAATTGAGTTTTACTAGAAATCAAAGGGAACATTTAAAAATTCCTTGAGATAAAGTAATGCATAAACAAAACTTGTGTGACACAGTCAAAGCAGTGCTAACAAGAACATCTTATTAAAATCAGTGCCTACGTTGAGAAACTAAAAATGTGCCAGGCAAATGAACCAACCATACATCTGAAGTAGATAGACTAGAAGGAAAATAAAGCCAAAATTAGCAGAAGAAAAAAGAATCAAAACAATGAAAGAAATAAACAAAAACCAAAGCAACAATATATATGATCAATGAATCAAGGAGCCAGTTCTTCAAGAAAAATAAGCAAAATAAATGCTCTATTAGCCCAACCCATCCAAAACGAGGGAGAAGAAAAATATCAATTGACTCAGATATTAAAAAGGAAATATAACAACCGATACCTTGGACACACAAAAGATTACCAAGAACTGTTACAAGCAACAATATGACAACTCATCAGAAGATCTAGGCAAAATGGGTACATTTCTGGGTAAACATAATTTACCAGAAGTGAATCGTGGTGTAATGAAAAACCTAAGATCTACACCAGGATGGAGATTGAATAGGTAATTACATAATAGACAGGGGACTAAGGATTTACAAAGAACTTCAGAAACGCCACAGTAGCAAGACTGCTTTCTTATCAAATGGGTTAAGAAAATTAGCAGACCTTTTTCAAAAGGTCAAATCTGAATAGTTAATATACATAAGGAAAAATGTTCAGGCTCCTGAGCTACTAGGGAAATGCAAATAAAACCACATTGAGGTTCTACCAAATTCCGTGGAGTAGGCCTACATACCTGCTATTACCAACACCTGCTGATGAAGGTGTGGGAAAAACAGTACCTTACTCCATTTTTGGTGGGTGTTGCAGACAAGTGCAACCACTGCAGAAGTCAGTATGGAGCATCAATGAGAGAACTAGAAATTGATCTACCACATGACTCAACTATCTCATTCCTCAAACTAGAGCCAAAGAAAGTGAAATCTGCACCTGAGAAAGTGATCTGCTTCTCTGTACTTTCAGCAGCAAAACTGACAATAGAGACATGAAAAAAAACAGATGTCCATTGAAAGAGGAATGGATAAAGAAACTGCGGTACAGCTACTCTATGTAATATTACCCAGCCATTAAAATAATCAAATTCTACCGTTTGCAACAAAGTGATCCCAACTGTAGATCATCGTACTCAGTGAAATAGGCCAGTCCAAAAATAGATACTACATTCTGTCCAACATAATGTAAACTTCCTCCAAAAAAACAATGAGGATAGATATGTAGGTGAACAAATTTACACAAATATTCTCTCAGAAATTTATGATGTAGAACAGTTATCCTGACCAATGTGTCATAAACAGGGTTGGAGGGGGAATGACCTGCAATTGAAAAAATAAGAAGAGACAAACACAAAATAAATATTGATGTTAACTGATGTTCGATGATCAAGAAGCAACAGCGTGACCCAAGTACCAAGTCAGTATGTGACTGTCTCAAGGATATCCTAAAACACACAGCCACGTGGCCTTGACCTATTGCCCAAATGCTCATCCTTGCCCACGGGCCTCAGTCTTGGCCTCAGACTTGTGCTCACTCCCAGACCACTGCCTGCAGTTTGACCCTGGTCTCTGACACCAGCAGTAAGCAAACTCCAGATTTCACACGCAGTCTGTGCTGCTCCTTATCCAGTCAGGCTGTTATTTTTTACAAACTATCTGACACAGTCTATAACGGGAAGTGAAGATACATTATGGCATGCGTCTATACTCCTGAATGAAAAGTGGATGTCCAGTGAAGCCTGTCTTGAGAATCTGCTGGGGGTTTTTTTGTTTGTTTTTTAACCTTGCCTATACATGCAATGTTATGATATACTTAAATAGAAGAGTGTTAAACTTGCAATATTACTAAAGGACTATATTACTGTAATAATATGGGAGAAATTCAAGGGGGAAAGAGGAAGTGGGAATCCCTATACTTATAAGATTGTATGATGGAAAATAATAGCAATACAATATAAAACAATAAATAAATAAATAAATAGCACTTATTTTGCTTGTTTTCTTGTTAGAACTGTGAATAAATTACTCCATGCCTTTCTGTCTTGTAATGTTTTATACTGAAAGGGAGGAAAGCAAAACAATAGCTGTCAGCAGTCTTTCAGAGTTTTCCTGTGAATGACAAGTCATTGTCGGCTTGGTGCTTTCCATATTGTCTCTGATTTTGATCTTACACTTTTCCTGAAGTGTATCATTGTGTGCGATGTATTTGGACTCTGAGGCATTTTAATCGGAATTTAAGTGGTCTTCCTCACTTGACAAATGTATACTGAGTACCTATTCATTATTTCAACTTCTATTAACTCATTTTACATGTTACCATGTAATGCTTCTATTATCACATAAAAGCTGGATTGTGGCTAAAAATTCTATTGCAAATATAAAAGTAGCTTCAAGAGAGGATTTTGAAGGTTCTCACAATCAATCAGTTACTAATGTTTAAAGTGATTCCTAAACATCCTAGTTGTTAACTACTCGAATTCCACAGGTACCATTATCTACTGGAATATCATGTTCTATTCTTGGACTTTCCATCTTCTGAAATCCTTACCATCTCTGTTGGTTCAAACATTTTTACTGGTTTAATATTCATTCTTTTTGCCTTTGGATTCTCTTTACAAATAACTACCAGCTTTCTGTCTTTGTGTTGTATTATTTTTTTTTCTTTCAAGATTTATTTGTTTATTTGAGAAGTGGAGATTAGAGAAAAAGGAAGAGACAGAGAAAGATGTTGAGGGAGATTTTTTTTCCCACTGTTTTTCATTCCTGCAATGGCTGTAAAGGTGTGAACTATCTGAAACCAGCAGTCAGGTGCCTTCTGGTATCCCAGAAGGAAATCACCACTACAGGTGTCTTGTTCTACTGGCTAAGCCACAACATTCATCCCGCTACTAAATCATCTTCATGTCTGTCATTGAACCCCATCCTCTGCGAATCTTCTAGTTGGCTATTGTGTTACCTCGTCGTATTATTTCCTTTCTGTACTGATATTCTCCTTTTGTTCATGCATTTTTCTCATGATCTTATTGAACAGCTTCCTGAGATCATATTGCTATTTCAGCTACATTATGTAACTCCATTACTTTAGAAACAATCATTTGAGTTTATCATGTTCTTTGGGATCGCTTGCCTATGTCTTTATTTCCCTTGTCTCTCTGTGCTGACACCTGTGCCTGAGATCAAGCCCCTTCTGTACTCCTGAATGATAGTCTACCCTCAGGAAAAGTTTCTCCTCTTATCTGCACCAGGCTTTCTGACTGTCCCTGTGAACTGTCTCACTCACTGGGAAGAAGGGAGCAATGAGCAGTGGGGATACTTGTCACTCTTCTCTTTGAGAAACAGTGAGGAAGATCCATGCTACGTACAAGTTCAAGAACCACTTTGGTTCTAGCCCACGTGTGGTTAGATGGTGCCCAATGCTATTCACAATGGGTAAGAAAAACACAAACACTTTGGTTAGTCCATATAAAAGTGTTGTAACCGTAGGGGCCCAACACGGTTAAAGTTCTCACTTGTATGCAATGGGATCCCATATGGGCTAGGGTTCCAATCCCGGTGCCCCTGCTTCCCATCCAGCTCCCTGCTTGTGGCCTGGGAAAACAGTTGAGAATGGCCCAAGGCCTTAGGACCCTGTACCTGCGTGGGAGACCCTAAAGAGACTCCTGGCTCCTGGCTTCAGATTGGTCAGCTCTAGTCATTAAGGCCGCTTGGCGAGTGAATCATCAAATGTAAGATCTTCCTCTCTGTCTCTCCTCTTCTCTGTATATCTGACTTTCCAATAAAAATAAATAAATCATTGTAAAAAGTTCTGCAATGTTGGACTCCCACCTTGCTAGCAAAGCCAGGCTCTAGAAAGTATCTTTGTAATCCTCTGGTGGAAGGTCTTGGCAAAATGAGCAATGAGTTTAGTTTTTTTTTTTTTTTTCGCTTTTCACAGGGCACGGGAACTCGCATATTTTGTGTGACGTTTTTTTCTCTAAAGCATGTCTTAGGTTCTTGGACCCTTTCACATGTAGGGGACCCCGAAAACCCTTCTGACTCCCATCTTCAGACCCACCCAACTTGGGCCTTTGCGACCATGTGGAGGGTATGCCAGAGAGTGGAAGATTCTCTCTTTCTCTCCTACTCTGTATAAATTTGCCTTTAAAATATACGAAATAAATATTTTTAGAAAATCTTTGTTTAATGGTTTCAGCCATCTTGACATGGATTATCCGTGAATTTTCTTCTCTCCTTTTGTAAAAATGTTTGTCTTCCATCCAATGAATGTTTGTGCTTTGAAATTTAGTGAGGCTGATACCTGAGGGAAATAATGATAATAATAACAATAACAATAATAACCTGTTTTGCAAGCAGGCACCCAGCATTAAGTTTAGTCCCATGCTGTATATTGCCGTGCTTTCCCGTAACAATGTGGGCTGTGCTCCTTTTTCTTCTTCTGTTTTTTTTTAAGGGGTGGGGGGGTGTTTTTTTGGCTTGCTAGAAATTCTGCTGAAAATAACATTTGCCGGAAAATATATGTGTAGATTTTTTAAGTCAGCTGAATGCCTTTCATTATATATGCGTGCCATGTATGCACTATACCTTAAGACAGCTGGAAAAGCATAGAGGTCAATAAAACCTGTGTGTAACAATAAAATCACAGATGGGCTATTTGTGTGAAGACAGTAGCTAAGATTACTACAGACACATGAGGCTAAGAGCAAGAGGGTGAAGACAAGCAGTAATGAATATGAAACTCTGATGAACGGTTTTGTAATAGCAAAGTTTGACTGTTTGATACTATCTTTGAAGAAAGGATGAAAATGAGGACACACTTACCTACTGATTTATGAATATGCATCTGTTATCCTTTTAGACGCATTGCTTTTACCAGGGACATGCTGCTGAGATTCCAAAATCAGCTGTGATTGTCAACACCTGCTTTGGCCTCAGGTAATTGCATGTTAGCAAGATGTGTACGGTGAGAGAAGCAAAGAGACATAGATTCAGATTGGTTTTTGTTTTTCCTATATTGTTTCAAACTCCTCTTTCCTCCTGTTTTCTCCGTAAGTTAAGTCAGAGTTTCCATCTTAATATTTATGCAGTGGTATATGAAGTCATTTATGAAGAATGTATGCATCTCCAAACAACACTAAAATACAAACTGTGGCGATGTTCCATAAAAGACCTGAAATTTAGTTTGCAAGTTAATTATGTTCACGAGAAATGTGTTTTAGTTGCAATTCCAGTTCTTTTGTGTTTGCATATTTAGAGGATTATTGCAGTTGGATAATGTCACCTATGGAATAGAACCATTGGAATCTTTGATAACAAATGAGCACATGATTCATCAAATAAGGATGAATGAAGCTGGTTATTCCTCCCTACAAGAAATTTACTCCTTAGGCAAGAATGCACTGCATTTTTACAGCATTATAGTCAAGTCACATGTAAGTAAATCCTTTTTACTTTAATCTTGATGAAAATAGTCACATTGAAACCTGTGAAGGACATTTAGTTGATGTTGATTCCACTACTGTTTCTTAAAGAGAAAGCATTTGTTTTAACTTTTTTGATGCTTATTCAGATAGCAGCTAGAACAATGCAACATCTACTGGAGACAGGGGAACCCGTTGTGATGTATTCAGGTAACCTTCTCACTTAGGGTACCTGCTTCCCATGTGCTAATGCCTGGATTCAAGTCCAACTTTACTTTCTATCCAGTGGCCTGCTGATGGCCCAAGTGTTTTGCATCCTGCGCTCAAGTAGAAGACCTGGAAGCAATTTGTGAAACTGCACCAGGTGGCGCAGCCTTGATTCTGAGGCCATTTGGGGTAGGAATCAGCAGATGGATGATCTCTTTCTATCTGTCTCGTTATATTTCTCTCTCTCATCTCTCTCTTACTCTACCTTTCTACATTAAAAAATAAATAAATAAAATGTAGCCTTATAAAGACATGTGATTTGTAAATCATCAATGATCTCCCAATATGTTTTCCTCAATGAAAAGATTTTTTATGCAGTTTCTTTCTGAATTTACATATTATTAAATTGATGATTTACAGATTTCACAGCTATACATTTCTAAGCCACTTTAACCAATATTTATTCTTTTGGGGAAATAACATCATTTTGATGTAAAGCTTAAAAGCAGAAAGGAACAACCTAGGAAATTTCCTAAATTTTGTCAATGTAATGCTTATAGAATTTGAGATTATTTTTTCTAATGTTTTTATATATCTGATTATATAAGAGATCTAATGCATGAAATTTTAATAAAAATGCTCTATCTGCATATATGTGGATTGGATCACATTTTACAAGTATTGAATTCACATACATTAAATACGAACCGTATGTGTATAAAAGGCAAGAAAACAGAATAGACTGTAACACCAATTATTACAGTCTAAACCCTCTCGTGGATCACTTTGCTATCTTGTCAGGTCTATATTAGCACACAATTTCTTATGTAAACAAATGCACTTCTAAAAGTTCATTGAAATGGAATTAAATAATAAAAATAAAAAATTGTAAGCTTCATTTCTTCATGTAATCTCCAGCAGAAACTTTTCTAAGTTCACTTAGCTAATTTTACATCAATAGAGAATTGAGAGTCCTGGAATTTTAGCCATAACAATGTAATCAGAGAGAAGGAGAGAGGAGAGAGATCTTCCATCTGCTAATTAACTCTCCAAATGGACACAATCTAGGGTGAAACCAGTCGAAAACCAGCAACCAGACTGCCTCTGCCCAGTCTCCTAGGTGTGTGCAGGGGCCCAAGGGCTTGAGCCATCCTCCACTGCTTTCCCAGGCATCCACAGGGAGCTGGCTAGAACGTGAAGCATCTGGAACTAGAAGAGGCACCCACATGGGATCCTGGTGCTTACAGGTGAAAGATTAGCCTGTTGAGCCACAGTGTTATACCTGTGGCTAACTTTCTTAAAGCCCTACCCTGATAAGCAAATGTTATAATTCCTTGACCTGCCAAAAGTCAGCAATGTTCCATAAGCATTCAATGCATTCGAAATATACCGCCACAACCATTGCTTTTGACCCATTTGCTTTTGGTTGCAAGGACTACTCCACTTCAAGATAGCTATTGCTTAGATTGTGCTTTTTCTCAAAACCACGTTGCGTATCCATGTTCCTCCCACGTTATGTTCTTAGTAGAACCTGTTCAGGAACTTGATCTCACTTGATTAGTCAATTGAAATCCCTGTCTGTAGCTGATCTAGGTGCAAGCATTCTGGTACTCAGTAAGCCAAAGTTTGCACCACTTTTTGCTTTTTAGCCATAATTCTGGAAACTAAACCAATTGCAGTCATGATGTATAATGTTTCTACTATGATCCTAATCAGTGGTGTGAGTGGCTTGCCACTATAGGATTTATATTCAATATTCTCTATTCCCTTCCAAACACTGGTTTGTCATGTTAGTATTATTACAGACATTTTGGACTGTGTCCATCATCTTAATATTGCTACAGTTCATCTTCATCTTCAATTCTGTGTATTTTCTTGCTGTGATCTTCACAGATCATGTAGGCGATGTTTGGTCTTATGTTTTACCTACTTTGTGTCTCAAACTAGATACTTTTCAACTAGTATGGCAAGTATTATTAGTTTTTTCTGGAACAAAAATTGGAATCCATGCATATACAGTTTTTATAATGAAGATAAAAGTTCTGTGAGTATTTTGAGGAAAAGAATTCACTTTGCTGAGCCCAGCACAAAGACTCAGTAGCTAAGCCCTTGCTGCCTTTTACACACCGGGATCCCATACAGACACCAGATCATGTCCGGGCTGCTCCACTTCCCATTCAGCTTCCTGCTTATGGCCTGGGAAACACCAGAGAATGACCCGAAGCCTTGGAAACCTGCACCTGTGTAGGAGGCGCAGAAGATGCTCCTGGTTCTTGGCTTCAGAGTCGCTCAGCTCCGGCATTTGCGGCTTTTGGAATAGCGAACCAGAAGATGGAAAATCTTTCCCTCTGTCTCTTCTCTCTGGAAATCTGTCTTTCCAATAAAATAAATAAATCATATAAAAATGAGAAATATTCTTACCTCTTAAATTTGTTTTTGCATGGATGTTTTGAAGTCCCCTCACCTACACATCTATGCATTTTGTTTTTCAGAATAGGTATGGTCTCAATGGCTATGAAAGCTGGTAGTAGAAAATTTAAGATGTTAAGATTTGTAATCAAGAAGGAAATCATCAAATGCACTATAATTTAGAAAAACAGCAGAAAACAAAACAGCTTTGATGAGCAAATGATGAAGCTGAAAATTTCCAGGAAACTTTTAAAATCGACAATACAAAATTAAAAAAATAGCACACTCAAATATTGTTTCTTCAAAGGGTAGAGAAACCAGCCATAATGACTGAAACCCTTCCAAAACAGTTAAATATTTCCTATTTCTTCACGGTGAAACATGAAATATTGCAAGAATTTTTATCTAATCAAGTTCCCTTTAAAATAAAATGACAATCTTGATTTTTTAATCTGTGTAAAGTTACAAAACTTTGTGTCAATGTTACTTAAAATCCTAAATTAAATATGAAGTTCAAATATGCTATTCACAGATCTTTACAGAGCATAACAATATTTTCAGAAAAGGCAACATCACTGTCCAACAGTTTACACTTTCATAAGAGAAAACAAGAATAGAAAACTCCCGTGGTCAGATTTAAAGCATGTGTGACAGCTTCCATAGCTGAAGGAATGTTTCTGAAGATTTTGTGCCTGCTGTGAACTGCAGTTTTGGTGCTCCATCAGTTACATGTTGAAGCCCTGGCAGTGGCACTGCCCCTCCCAGGGAATGTATTTGGAAGTTAAACTTTGGGATGTAAAATAGTGACACAGCTGTTGAAGGAGGCAGTCTTCCTGATGGCATTCATGCCTTCAAACAAGAGAAGAGATAGAAGCATAATCTGCTGAACTGTCAAATGGCAGCACAGTGTCGCCATAGACCCACAGAGCAGTCAAGCAGAGCGGGGAGATCAGGGTGTGAACCACCTGCCACCATTCAAGGCTGCCGATTCAGTAAATACCATAAATTTTTGCCAAGAAGAAAGGAACCGTGTATATTGATGAAACTACACAGAGTTTAAAATTAATATGCAGCGAAACAGTACTAATAATTGTTAAAACATCTAAATACTCCAAATGGCCACTGATAAGTTAGTGTATAATAAAGTTGAAATGTGTCTCTATTAGAGTACTAATAAATTCAACAATTTGATGGAAGGCTGAATGGAAGTAGCTGGATAAAAGAGATCACTTAATATGTTTCCACTGAGCTGAAGTTCTAGATCAAATTATTTTAACCTGTGGTGGAAGGCTGAAGATTATCAGTAGTTTTGTGCCATGTGGACTACCCACATGGGAGAAAGTGATGGAAATATTGTATTAGTGACAGTGGATTCATTCACGTACGTACTGTGCCACACATCATATACTTCAAACTGGTATGTCTTGTTTAACACAAACCTCACAAATCTAACATAAATGTTAAAATATAAAAACCATGAGGAAGGAAATGGACATCCTCATACAGAAGAATACACTACTGCTTGTGACACTGGCCTTGTGTCCCCAAGCAATCCCGTGCAGAAGAGGAGCACCACAGGCTGATGCGATCCTTGACTGCTGACAGTGAAGAGTGGACTCATGCCCCGAAGCTTTCTCGATGCTGCACTGCCGAACAGCAGAGTTCATGAAAGCAAAATTGCAAACCAGGAGAGGTTCCGGGGCATCAGATATTATTAGCTAATATGAGCCTACTTCAGGCATAAAAAGAAAATTACACCAGTTCAAGCTCATTTTTCTCCTAGTCATGCTTGAATAGCCTAGCCAGGGATTTGAGCAGAATGTGGCTCTCTCTGCTTGGCTACAGTCTCATGGGTCCCCACAAATGTAGCCCATCTCAACATGGAGCCCCTTACTCCAGGCTGGTATTTCAACATATCAGAGTTCCAGTTTCAATCCTGGCTGCTCAGATCTTGATTCACATTTGTGCTAAAATATTCAAGAAGACAACTGAAGATGGATGGTTTAAGGTCCTTCTACCCACTTGGGCTCTTCAGATGTTGAACCTTCTTTGAGTTTTGCTTTTCCCAACCTTAGCATTTGGAGATGTTTAAGGAGTGAGCCATTTTCACTTTCTCCCTCTCTGTCCTTCTACTCCCTGCACAACACCCCCCAATATACACAATGATGAGAGAATGTTGACAGAAACATGTTGAAGGATGGCAGGCTGTGGATGTCCCATTAGCAACACAAAAATGCTTTAAGATAAAAAAAAATATGGTCTTTCCTTTATTTCTGGACACTTTGAAGATTCTTATTTCCAGGAATAGAAATTAAAATACTTCTGACAAGTTACAAACACTTAACAAGTTACAAAACTCTTACCCACTTATTTACAGCGTGTGCATCAATTCTCTTATTTTTCCATTGTGGCTATCCATCTATTATATGCATCCATCTGTCTGTATCCTGTTCTGTGTGGGTGAGTGAGTCTGTCCCCTCTCTGCCTCTGTCTCCTGTGCATGTCTATGTTTGGTACATATAATAATGACAATGCAAGAATTTTGAAAACGTTAATTATGTCCTGTGTTTCGCAGAAAGATTTAGATGTTGCATTTCCAAAAAGGACTTTGAGAACGCACATTGTTATGGATAAATCCATGGTATGCATTACTGATATATTTTATTCTGTATTCATATTAAACTTAAGTTATGGGGAATATGAGCATTAAACTTCTATTGTTCCTAATATTAAAAGATACGTTATTTTAGTACACCATAAGTTAAGGAAATACCTTTTGCCTTTACACAGAGATGGGTTGTCAATATTCAGGTATTGATTTCTAATCCCATATTGAATCCTAGAATCGTATGTGGTAGGGTTCTACTACATTAAACCTTAATCAACAGTAACTATCTGAAGACACTTCTGTGCCTTCGACAGTTCTCCAAGAATCTGTTCCTTGGATGTATGTCCATTCTAAAGTAACCTTTTTCATTAGTTACTGAAGAGAAAAAAGGCCCACATTTTCCTAAATATTAGTCTTTATAATTATTTAACGTTGTATAATTTCTCCACTTCTCAGGTTGAGGTCTGTGTTTTGCAAGTGGGAAGAGTCATTGATAATAAGGTTGTTGCTTTCTGCAGAACAGGGTTGGCATTGAGGCCCAGCATGACAGTCTCAGCACAATACACTGGAGCTCAGGTTGGAGCCCCGATGCTCCACTTGTGATACAGCCCCTTGCAAGCCTTCTTAGTATCCCAGCGAGGGTGCAGTTTATGACCTGATGCCTGCCTGGGCTCTACCCCCTAGTCAGAAACCAGAATGGAGTTTATAGTTCCAACATCTTAGCTTTAAGTGGAAGCAGCCTGAGTAATAAACCATCAAGTGAAATACCTCTTTCTCTTTCTCTCCCTCATCCTCTGGCTGTCAAATCAACCAATCCTCAAATGGAACCTAAAAAGCATTACTGAAATGTACATGTGTGGGTTCAAGTACTACTCTTCTGTTAAAATTGTTAAGGCTCACTTGTCACTTGTTTGCTACCATTGGACTAGTGGATTGATTTTAGCCTCTGTTTGAATCATTTTTATGATAATTATTGTTTTATTTAAATTTTATTTTCATAATTGCATTAACTGTATTCATTAATATATAAAGCATCACACAATATATTCCTTTTAAATTTTCCTGTTAACAGATAGCATATTTTTTACTTTCAACTGTTTTTAACAAAAGTTTACACACACAATCCCAAACCATAGGTTTTTTTTCCGCCCTTGGGAAAAATGGTGCCATTGTATAATTCATGATTCTGTGATGAATTCGACTAGAGAAAACAGATGATTTGGAATGAACCAAGCTGAAATACAAAACATCAAAACACATGGGATACAGCCAAAACAGCAAGCAAACAATCAAAAAAACAATATGGATTGGACTATTGGAGTTACACTTTCCATGCTGGCTTCCTTATATAACAGAGATTATATGGTGTTTGTTCTTTTGTGATTGACTCATTTCACTGAGCATAATGGTCTCGTAGGTGGGACCACCTGGTTGTAAATAGAATAATTTCATTCTTCTTAATAGCTGAATGATATTCTATGGAGTAGATATACCACAGTTTCTTTGACCACTCTTCCTTGGACACACATCTGGATTGTTTCCATGTCTTTGCTAATGTAGACTGTGCTGCTGCAAATATAAGATTATAGATCCTCTTGTCACATACAGATTTCACTTCTGTTGGGTATATTCCTAGGAGCGGGATATCTGGGTCATATGGCAGGTTCATTTGCAATTCTCCAAGCACTCTACGTACTGATTTCCACAGTGGTTGTACTAGCCTACACTCCCACCAGCAGTGAAGGAGGGTGCCTTTTTCCCCACATCCACACCAGAAGGTGTTGTTAGTTGAGATCTGAATGTTTGCATATAGTACATTGTTCCAATAAACAATGTGTTTTATGGTCCACTCTATAAACCCTGAGCTCAAAGAGTTAAGAGCACTACATGTCTATTATGGCTATCAAATAGGAGATCCATGCATTGCATTCTATTATGACAGTAAATTATAGCAGACAAAATAGACTTAGAAGTTTAGTTAGAAAGGTTTGAGCTTTGGTTATGCCTTCTTTGAATCCTCAAACTTTAAATCTTATTTTCTGTATCTGTAAAGAAGAATATAATATGGCGAATTTCAGTAACATGCTTTATGCCCATAATTATGTATCAATGTAAATAGTATAACTATAGAAGCATGTATAAAGGTATCAGGCCATATAATGTTTAGGTAATAAAGATCTAAATTTCATAAGTTACAGCAGTAACTTTTAGGATTATGCTTAAAATGACATAGTTATTTCAAAAATCTTATATTTTTGTCTCTCATTTAAGCAATATATTTTTGGCACTTTTATACTTAAAAACCTCTTAAATAAATGTTTGTCTTTTAGTGTGACTTTATGGGCTCTGAAGTGGTACTTTCAGCTGAAAAAATTATCTACATGTTTGGTCTTATTAATGCTGTAAGTATCTATGTTTTATGTTTGTATAAGACATATTTTGTTACCAGTCATATTGCTTGTATAAATTGCATTTCCATCTCATAGAAAGTAAAATCCTATGAGCTAGTTCCATTTACCAGTGGATTCTACCACCAGTACACACTAATTAAAGGCATACATCACATCTGGTTACAGGGATGTAACATTCTTTCTTGTAGTGAACCAAGCCTATATTATTTATCTCCTGTTTTCAGATGTTTTCCAAGGTCAACATCACCATTATGCTGTCCTCTCTGGAGCTCTGGTCAGATGGAAATAAGATTTCAACAAATGGGGATGCTGAGGAAATACTACAGAGATTTCTGTCATGGAAACAAAAACCCCATGAGATGTCTTACTTATTAATGTAAGCACTTGCTATATTGGCTGGGACTTTCCCAAAATATTTCTTTCTTTTTTTTTTCAAAATTTATTTATTTATTGCAAAGTCAGATATACAGAGAGGAGGAGAGACAGAGAGGAAGATCTTCTGTCCAATGATTCACTCCCCAAGTGACTGCAATGGCCGATGCTATCCCCGTCCGAAGCCAGGATCCAGGAACCTCCTCTGGGTCTCCCACGCGGGTGCAGGGTCCCAAAGCTTTGGGCTGTCCTCCACTGCTTTCCCAGGCCACAAGCAGAGAGCTGGATGGGAAGTGGAGCCTGCCAGGATTAGAACCGGCAACCACATGGGATCCCGGTGTGTTCAAGGCGAGGACTTTAGCTGCTAGGCCACACCCGCCGGGCCCCAATATTTCTACTGAAATTATTTCCTGAGTTGTTATTGATAATGAGATTTTTAGAAAGGAAATTAAGCAAAATGAGAAATTATAAAAGCTGATAGCCACATAAGCTGACATTGAAATCATATTAAGCTTTCATTCTCAGAGTAGACTTTCTGTTGAAGGGAAGTGGGCAGAAAAAATAGAAAGCCTCAGGAAAATCAGGGGTTGATCACCTTAAAAGAAAATGATCGAATCATCATTTTAGCATTTGATAAAACTGTAAATTACTACACAGAACACAGTGAATGCCTGAAGTGTTTGTTACAGCAGAAAACATTTTAGTAGTAAGTATTTGGAAAGGACCACTTCACTACCATTCTGGTTAGGTTCCTCACTGGTGTATTTATATTGAGTGGAGATGGATGTATTGATCTATTTGGATCATGGAAGATTCTTTCCACAGAACTGTGCACTTACTAATTTTTCTTAATTTTAATATTAAGAAACAAAATACAATGCCAGGAACCTGAAGCAATATGAAATAAATCCATAAATCTTCTCATGTTTGAAGTAGAATTAAGGGAGCTTCTTGAAGTCTAGAGTAAATACATGGAAGGGTTAAGATGAATGTGCGCCATTGCTACCTACTGTCTCTACTTCATCCGTTGCATGTTCTCTCTCTCTCTCTCTCTCTCTCTCTCCTCCAAGTCAACACTGCTAACATGTAGTTACAACTTGCTCACTAAGTCTATGTTATTACAATGAACAATCTTGATTTTTTTCTTCCGATGATAATTCCATCAGGGAGGGTGATGGTCATACACCAATTAACAGGCAGAAAAGACACTGCCAGGTTTGGAGTGTTGCAACAGAGTGATCACTAGCCTTTCAAGACATCTCTTTATGTGACTTGTGACACACAACTCAAGGAGGGAATGACAAATTGTTAGATGTGATATTTCTACCATGTCTGTACCTGCAATGTCATGATACACTTAAACAGGACAATGGATTGATGACTTTTCCTGAAGGACCGTATTATTGTAACAACATAGGTAAAACAGTAGCGGGGGTGCTAATCTGTAGGGCAGAGGGGAAATCCTCGAGCCTATGGGACTTTAAAAAATGAACAATTTTTATGACACAACTTCTAAACACATCGTTAATCACCAATACATTAAAATGCAAATTTTCACAAAAAAATTGTATTTTTAGTTATAGGGAACATGCTGCTTTTGTGGGAACAACATATCATGGAATGGCATGTGATCCAAAGTTTGCCACAGGAGTTGCTCTGGTATGCATTTATCCTCATCTCTTTAATAGTTATATCAAATTTAGAAAGTTAGCATTCACATCAGTAAACAAATATAAAGCACACCTATCCAGTGCTTTGTCAACCCTTTATAGAAACGATGATGGTTTTTATTAGTTGGGATAATCAAATAAGAGAAAGGGGTATGTATGTTATTGTGGGTGAAGAACAAACCTCAAACTTCACCTCTTAGCATTTTGATTGTTCAGAAAAGCAGTAACTATCTTCAAATAGTAACAAAACAGAATTCCAGAACCTTACATCCTGTGAGACTGAAAGCATCCTAGGGAAATGGCACCATTTTCCCCTAGTAACCACCATTCCACTGTTTGTTCTCATCAGTTTGACAACTTAGATTTGCATGGAAGTGGTGCCATGCGGTATTTGTGTTCTTGTGACTGCCTTACACAACGTACTCAATGCGTATCCACATTGTGGCACTTGACACAATTTCTTTGCTTTTTACGCCTGTAAATCATTCCACCACAGGTGCCATATTTTTATTCACTTATCTTACATTGGCAGATTTAGATATTTCCCATATAATGCCTATGAAGAGTGCATGAAACTCTTTGAGACATTGGTTTAACTATTTATGGATATGTATCCAGAAGCGGGATTGCTCAAGCACGTGGCAGATGTAATACATAGTAGGGTGGCATGATTTCTAAAGTGATTGCACTGCTTTACAATGTCACCACCATTTCACATATTGCTGCTTTGTTTGTTTGGTGGCAGCCATTGTAATAGAGCGAGGTGATATCTCATAATCGGACTTTGGTATCTATGGTTATGAGTGGTGTTAAAAATCTCTCCATGTGGTCCTTGAACTTTTGAATCTATACCTGCAGGAATGTATTTCCTGGAATAGCCTGCTCCTACTACTGGGTCACTGACTGGTTTTGCTGTTGAATCTTGTGAAATTCATCTTCTGCCACAATTGAGAGTATCTTTTTTTTTTTTGCCTTTCATGTCTTTAAAGTAACATATTTTGTACCTATCTTGTAGTCTTGGTATAATCCCTTAAAATCATATTTAAATCAGCTTATCAGATTTTATCCATGTATTTGTGTCAAGCAACTTTTGAAAGAATCAAGTTTTTGTTATTTTTCTTATTGCATCATCTTCTCTATCACAGTTTTATCCATTATTTATGTTCTTCTGATTGTGTGGGTTTAGTTTTTTCATCTGTTGTTTAGTTCCAGCAGGGATCAGTTAGGATACTAATTTGAAATCACCCTCCCTTTCAATGTGAGCATTTACAGGTATAAACTTATTCTTCCTCAGTCTCGACAGATTTTGTGTATTTTATTTTCATTTTCGTTTTTCTCTGGATTGTTTTTAAGTTTCCATCTTGTATTCATTAATTCACTGAAATTGTTCACTCTTTTTTCTTGTAAAGATTTAGTTTATTTGTATGAAAGACAGCGTTAGAGAGAGAGAGAGAGAGAGGTAAAGTGAGGGATGTTACACATGATAGTTCACTCCCTGGGTGTACTGGGTGGAACCTGGGTCTTCTTGCAGATCTCTACTCTAGATGCAGGATCCCAAGTGCTTGGGCCATTGTCCTCTTCTTTCCCAGGGGCGCAGTAGGAAACCAGGTTGGAAACAGAGCAGCTAAGAAATTGAACCGGCACTCACATTAGATGATAGACTTGAGGGACACAACTTACGTATTACACCAAAACACTGGCACCCGTTCTCTGTAGATGAATATTTTCCTTTAAAGAAACAAAAACAAAATCATGAGAGATTTAACAAAAAAAAATTCTATACGCTTTTGAGTGTTCAAGGTTTTCTTCCCGGTTGATTCCTAATTGGATTCCATTGGTATTGGAATACTTTGTGCCAGAATGCCTACATTTTTCTTTCATTCTCTGTTCACTTGAAATAACCTCCCTTTCACTTTTACATAATTTGATATCTTCCATTCATGTGCTCCCTCACAAATGCTTGCAACAACCGGGGGTAAGTCCCACCAAAGCCAGGAGTCGGGATTCTCCCATAAGGGCTCTCCTGTCAGGTGCATTACCAGACAAATTTAGCAGAAGAGAACATTGCCAATATCTTCCCAGACACTTAAGTATGAGATGTAGCTGTCCAGACATCAGCCTCATCTGCTGTGTGCCCCAGTGCTCCCACATGAGAAGTCACAATTTGCTTGTAGTTCAGTGTTAGTGTCTAATGTGCATCCTATTCACCCTGAAGAGTTTCTTTAGCACTTATTGTGGACTGGGTTTAGAGGTTACGAACTCCCTAAGCTTTTCTTAGTATCCTCAACATTTTTTAATGACCGTTTTGTCCTAAACAACATTCTTGGTTGAATTTCTTTCCATATTTTGACTGCCTTGCTACAATCATGTTGGGGCTTAAAAATAGCTGAGAAATCCAGTAGTTACATGGAAGCTCTCTTATGTCACAAAGATTCTCTTGTGGTTTTGTTTTTTAACAATTTGATTACAAAACACTTTCTTGGTGATTTTCAGGGGTTCACCTTAGCTGGATTTCATCAAGCTTCTTGACCCCAGTCACTATTTTAATACTTGTTCCCCAAAATGTCAGCATTGTTTCCCTAAACAAGGTCTATCTTATCCCCTCTGCTCATCCGTGCCCTTCTTGGACTCCAAAACACAGGTATTTAGCCCCTGCAAGATGAGCTGTAAGACTGTAAGAACCGTAATCTCTTACTTCATCATGTCTTTTTTTTTCTCTCTGACATGATGAATTAAAATAATTTTTAAGATTTATTTATTATTTTTTGTAAAGACAGATACAAAGAGAGAAGGACAGATAAAGATCTTCCATCCATGGGTTTAGTCCCCAAGTGGCCACAAAGTTGGGGTTTATCTGATTCAAAGCAGGAGCCAGGAGCTTCTTCCGGGTCTCCAATATGAGTGCAGAGTCCCAAGGCTTTGGGCCATTCTCGACTGCTTTCCCAGGCCACAAGCAGGGAGCTGGATGGGAAGCGGACAGTTACCAGCACCTTTATGGGATTCTGATGTGTGCTAGAGGGTGATTCAGCACTTAAGTCATTGAGCCAGGCCTGACTTAAAATAATTCTGATCAAGTTAAGTTTGATTGCATCTAGTAAATTCTCTAATTTCTTGGGCTTAGTATTTCTAGAATTTACACTGGATTTTTTTTCAATTTCTGTTTCACTTGGTTATTTCTATGCATAGATTTCATTGCATATGTGCATCTTATTTCACATAAGTATTTGTTATGGAATTAATAGTAACTCATCTAAACAACAGTAATTGACCTAATCATTCAATGATGAATGGAAACAAATTCAATTGACCAATAAGGAGAGACAATACAATGCTATTGTTTGATTCAGGACAAAAACAAATTGACCAAAGGAAGAGAATTCACAGTTAATCCCTCAGCAAACTAGGACTCAAAGATAAGTTGCAGCAGGGCATTGTAACAAGCAGCAGTTTTAACTCCATACCTATTTTGAAAAAAGAGTACTCTAGAGCTATGCTAAGGAGCAAGTCAACATCAAAGACTTTCACTCCTTTTCCACTCAGTATAGGACCACTCTAAAGCTCCACATGTTGTAAGACTGTAGAGTCAAAGGCGCACGCAGTCACCTTTCTTTATGAAGTCACAGAAAGGAACAGTCACTTTAGGAGACACTTTGCATTACTGAATGAACTACTATCAGATGATCTTGAAATGGTCATAATTGAAATTTACCCAAATGAAATGAAGACATTGACATATGCAAAAAATACACAGGCATACTTTTAGCAGCTTGATGTGTAATTGTTGTAGATTGCAAGACAGCCGTGAATAGCCGAATGCATAAACATATGTCCATAAACATAATATCCACAAAACGGAATATCAACCATTGATAAGAAAACTTGGCCATTAACAATAAAGCATTTAATAATGCTGTTCATAGAATAAGCTAATATGATAAGGATTTATAATGCATTATGAAAAGCACATATACTGTTTTATTTTAACTTTGCAATATTGAGAATCAGCATACACGGAAATACCACAAAGCTCATTAATATGTAAAAATTTTGGAGAGAGGCAACTTGCGATGTGCTATATATTATGCTTTGAGAAAAATTATTTCAACTCCTTAACTTTCATTTTTAATATTTATTGTTGTTTTAAATGTAGCAACTTTAACATACTGTGATATACACTACATACTTGATTTGCAATTAAACACTTCAAAATATGCATATCTGTTCCAATGTCTTCTCTTGGGAAACAACACATTGGTAAAGTTATGTTGGGAAATATCTAATTGATCAATGGTACTTGTTGGAATTCAATCTGATTATCATGCAAAATTGTACTGATAACATTTGATTATCAGTGAGTTATCAGCAAATGCATATTATCTATAGGCAATATGCCAATTGCATGTAGATGAAAAATATAACTCAAAAAGAAAAATAAAATGTACCTACCTACCTACTTTGTCTTTTAGATCCTTAAAAAAAAAAATATATATATATATATATATTTGATAAAGTAGTTTCTTAAATCTGCAGTTGTATGCATGTATTAGAGCCTGAATTGACTATATTAAAATAGTGTGGAAATTTGATGCTGTTTTTCTTTTTAAAATTATTTTTAATTTATTTTTTACTATTTTACGATACAGATCTACATGCTCTGAGAATTCACTTCTCGCTTTCCTCAAGTCCCCTTCCCTCAACCTGATTTCCCCTAAATTAATATAATTGTACAGTCCTTTATTAACAGTCATAAGTCCATCATTCTGCTAGTTAAGTGTATCCTGATGCTGTAGGTATGGTCCATGGTAGAGAGTCCAGCATCCTATAGTAAAGATACATTTTAACAGTTCCATTGGGAGTCCATCTCTGATTTGAAAATAGAGATGCTTCTTCACATCTGGATATGATAGTTTATACTACACAGTTACTATAACATATGTTCTCTCTGATAGAAGGCAATCTTCATGCGAAACACAAGATCAATAGCCTTTCAATACTATTTTTGTTACATTTCATGGATTTTGCTATTTTTGTTTTTTTCATTTTTTCAAAATTTTTTTTCCTATTAATTTCTTCACTGACTCATAGGTCATACAGTAGCACCGTTTACTTCAAGAAGGCTTTTGGAATCATTAGTATGGTACTTAATTTCATGTTGTTGTAAATTTTCTATTTTTCTTCCTGTTGTGGATTTTGTTTTATGGCTTTTCATTCAAGGGGATATATAGTAACAGTGTTTTTCTTTTTAGTATCCAAAGATGTTAACTTTAGAGGCATTTTCAGTTGTTATGGCACAATTGATTGGGATTAATCTGGGATTATCATATGATAAAATCCATACTTGTGGCTGTTCAGGAACTACATGTGTGATGAACCCCACAGCAATGTAAGTATTTTATGTCACCTCTACAGTTTTATGTATACATATATACATTATATAATATTCTAAGTTATATCTGTATAACATATATAAATATCAATATATAAAGATATATACATGACACAATGTATATATTTTGTGATATATGACATACAAATGCAAGCATAGGCATATATATGTATATGTATAATGTTTTCTCTTTTAGAATCATCGTATTTCTTGATGTGTACCTCTTACAACACTTCTTAGCATGAATATATTTAATATCATATATAGTATTTAAGAGCAATTATATAGAAAATGAGTTTAGGATATTGTAGAAACTGTGAACTTAGCTTGATATTCAACACTGTTTTACAGACAGAATGTTGAACGGAAGTTTTAGGGCATTGCTGGAGGTAGTGAAAAGCTTTTTGGTGTAAGCACTAGAGAGATACTGGGATTCCATTAATTGTAAGAACTCAACAAGGCTTGGAATGTGATTTGTGGTCGAGGAAGTGAAAAAATTACCAATTATTAGGTTTGAAAACAGTAGCATTTTAGCTTAGGGAAATGAAGTGGCATGTTGTGAGCCAAGCATCATTTGGAGAAAGCAGCTCAGGCAGTGACCTATGGCATGCTCCTGTGTGGATGATGCAGTCTCTTAACAAAAAGGAAATATGTCACTAACATAAACTGAGGGAAATTCTATGAACAATTCCCCAAGAATTATAAAACCTTTCACATTTGCAAAGTCGGAACCAAGTACTCAGACTAGTAGACTAAGGACTCATAAGAACTGAGTGCAATAGACTTGTCCACAAGGGAGCCGAGTTCCATGAAATTACAATATTTTGATGTTTGGGTGAATTTGAATGGGATCTGATGGTTAGATACTAGAAATCTATTGTTATTTCCAGAGCTTGAGGGAAAATCCATTTCTATACCAGAAGCATATGTTAAAGTACATAGAATTATTATCTGTTGTATTGATGTCCAACTCAGTGATTTTGGAACAAATTTTTGACAAATCTGTGGTAAGATCATTGTTAATCAAAAACTCATTAAACATTACACTTGGTAGTTCGAAGAGTAAAACGTGCAAAACAGTACATCGACTCTAGAGTTTGTACCTTTTGTTCTTGCCTCCTGAAATATCTTATTTCATTACTTTGTTACTCAAAGACAAATAATTTGAATTGTACATGGGGATAATTAGCTCTCATGTATGCCTTATACTTCTCCAATTAAATTTCTCAGTATGTTTCATTTTCTTAATCATCGTTTTGATTTTATATAATGTAACGATATTGCTAAGTAGAGCTTATTGTGAGTCAAGGTTAATATCTAACATCCTTTAAACTTCCATATGGTTCTTACAGCATATCACATTGTGTAACAAAAAACCAAACACATTGCATTTGTTTGAGGCTTGTATTGAAAGGACTTTCCCCCATTTTCTTTGGCTTTTTTTCCAACCAAAATAACTCAGAATTAACACTTTACTACTCTGATACTGTTTTTGACCCAGTTTTCTAAGGAATGTACTTTAATTTTAGATGGTCCAGTGGTGTAAAGTTATTTAGCAGTTGCAACATAGAAGATTTCAAACATTCCGTGTCACAGCCTGAATTTGCATGTCTTCAGAAAGAGAATGTTCCGAAAGTTGCTTACCAAGGAAAACTTTCAACTTGTGGCAATGGAATTTTGGAAGGAAATGAGCAATGTGATTGTGGTATTCCATCGGTTGGTCATTTTAAATTTTAAATATGTTAAATATTTTAAATATGTTAAATATTTTAAATTATTATTAATTATTAAAATATTTTAAATGTTAAATATGTTAAATATTTTAAATATGTTAAAATTTTAAATATGTTTTAAAATTTATTGCTCCCCAAGATATTGTTTATCATTCTTCTTTTCCTCTTTCTCTTCTCCCTTCCCCATATCTGTCCTCATGTTATCACAATAGAATAGTCCCTTAGTACAAATTAGAAGTTTAATTTTCTGATATTCAAATGCATCATGAAATGGTAATTATAAGCAAAGGTAGAAAACCTGGCATCTTAATGCAAAGATATGTTTACATGTTTCAATGAGAGTCCTACAGTTATTCAGAAGAAAAGCATCGCAATGCTCATGACATGCTATATACCTAACTTTGTAATTTTTGTTACTTCTGAAGACTGTTAGCTAGCAATGGGTTTAATTGGAATTTCCCTGATGAATAGAAGAGTTATTTATCTCCTTCTTAATAGAAATAAATTAATTATGGTTACATGATAACTAGCCACAAACATTTTCATAAATTTTACCGCTATTCATGTAAGGTGTCATGAAAATTTGTAAAATACATTAACACAAACAAGGGTACATCAAAAAGCTCATGGGAAATGTATACTACTTTGTCATTTCTGCATGTTTTTTTTTAATCGACCTCATATTACAAGTTAAGGGCCAATACTCTTACTATGAAATTGCTAGGGGAAATGTCGTAAGGAGAGGAACACCATAATGTAACAAGAATGTTAGTATATAAATAAAGCAGAATGAGTGGATGTGTAAAAACTTAATACAACAATAAACAGAGAAATTTATAAGATTACATCATTAGAAAACTTAAAAATGTGGAAATATATTTGTGATATAATAAGTGAAAACCTGTACACATTCACAGTGCAGATGTTTGTACAAAAAAGTTTTAAAGGCATTGCAGGATTCTACAGCATGACATTACTGGTAACTCCATAAAAACTTTCTAAATGAACGACACGTTATGAGTGAAGTGGTGGCTATCAATAAATACAGAAGTCAATGTGCCAGGGTTGGGGCACATCATGCTAAGCTGCCACTTGCCACATCTGCTTCTGGTAGTGAAGTGCCAATGAGAGTCCCAGCTGCTGCACTTCCAATCCAGCTTCCTGCAGTTGCTCCTGGGAAGGCAGTACAAGAGAGCCCAAGAACTTGAGCCCCTCCCATTTATATGGGACAGCAGTTTGGAAGTTAATAAGGCTCCTTTTCAAGGTCCAAAATGAAGCTAGATGTAAATATGTACACATATGTTTCCTTTCTCTAGAGCCCTATAAACTTTTCTGTTTCTGATTATTTGCTTTGCCTTTAGAATTTTATGATGGAAACTAAGAGAAGGCATCCACATTCATCAGGCCCAAAGCACATCAGCCTCATCTGTCTCACCATTTTCCACCTCCACATTCTTGTCTCAGTGGCAAGTCGTCAGGGACAATGATATGCATGGAGCTTAAATTTCCTGTAACACCAATGTTTTCATGTAGCCTCCTTATGAGACACCTTCTACGACTGCTTTACAGTTCACTTGTCTCTCATGAGTAGAAGGAGGACACTCCAAAACCATGTCAGAAGCACAAATGAGCAAATATATGTACCTGATGACCTAGTTGACTACCACTGCTCTCCAGTAGTATGTATTGTACTCAGAGGTATGTGGCGTATTTTACATAACTGATGGTATGAGATGCTTGTTTACACCAGCATTTGCTCAGTCACTTGAGTAACATACTGTACTGCACAAGATAAACCTCATCCCTGGGGGGTAAGGATTTTTCAGTTCCTCTACAGCCTTATCAGACTGCCATTGGTAATGTATTCCATCCTTGACCAAATGTGATCATTTATGTGGATGAACATGTTGTCTTAACTTGACCGTATTTGATTTTAGCATTGTACTCACCCAAGATGCTGTAATGCTGCAGAATGTACTCTGATTAGATTTGCTGAGTGTGGCACTAGCCAATGCTGTGATAAAGCAACCTGCAGGGTAAGCTATCGAAGTATCACATTGTGCAGTACCATGATTGTTTTATCCTCTGACATTCATTGCACAACTGTTTGGACTTTTTTTTTCTAATATTTTAACCTGCTCTGTCTCTGACAAGCTTTGCATGACCTAGTTCTTCATGGCATGTGGGTAGTATTTTCATGTCCATAAGCATGTCACGGATCATGTTATTTCAGTATCTGTGTTACTTTTTTCTAGAGTTAGACATGAATCATATGGTTACTATATATTTTATTTGTTTGTAAGCTATTAGTCCCATCTGCTGGTAAATGACCTTTCACAGAGAAGAATCTTTCCTTCTAATATTCATGGAATGACCTAACTTCTCAACATTTTCTTGGGATTTTTTTTTTCTGGCAACCTTCATACATTCTATGTGATCATCCCTTTGTAGCTTTATACTTCTCTAACCCATAGTGTATCAATATCCGAGGGTAAAAAGAACAGAGCACCTCTCCACCCCAATGTTCATTTATACATGTTTTAGTATGTGATGATGGAAGAACACTAAACATACACACTCACTCACACTTACATGTTCTTTGTGTCACAGATTGCCAAAAGGGGAACACCATGTAGGGAAAGTCAAGACTTATGCGATTTTCCAGAATATTGCAATGGAACGTCTGAATTTTGTGTACCTGATATGAAAGCTGCCGACTATCAACAATGTGATAATAAAACTGCATTTTGTTTGGAAGGAAAATGCAGAAGTCTAGAAAGACAGTGCTCACAACTATTTGGAATATGTAAGAATTTTATCTTTTTTCCTGGGTTCATTTTTAATCTTTAGTTACTATAAAGAGTCAGCAATGGTTAACCACACTAAAAAATGCTGTTATTTTGGGCCCGGCACTGTGGCCTAGCGCCTAAAGGTCCTCACCTTGAGTGCACCAGGATACTATATGGGCACTGGTTCTAATCCCGGCAGCCCCATTTCCCATCCAGCTTCCTGCCTGTGGCCTGAGAAAGCAGTCGAGGACAACCCAGAGTCTTTGGACCCTGCACCTGTGTGGGAGACCTGGAAGAGGATCCAAGTTTGGATTGGCTCAGCTCCAGCCGTTGCGGCTGCTTGGGGAGTTAATCAGCAGATGGAAGATCTTCCTCTTGGTCTCTCCTCTCTGTGTATCTATCTTTGTGATAAACATAAATAAATCTTTAAAAACATGCTGTGATTTTCCATCCAAATTTGATAATAACATTGCAAATTAAAGGGACTTTCACTCGTGTTAAAAGGCAAAATGCATCTTTCAGTGGCAGTGTGAACACGATACAACATTAATCACATTTCAGTTGAACTGATGGGAAAGGACAAGGCCAGTAGAGTAACATTTAAGAGATCAAATGACACATTATTTTATCATTTCTGCACTGTAATGCTAATTTGTCTATTTGGACTTATCCTTCAAAAGTGCTTCTCCTTTTGCACAGCTAGTAAATGGCAAGAGAATCTGTAGGACTAGCATTACCAGGACACTTTTTGTTGTTGTTACATGCCTCTATGTTGACTTGCCACACTTTTATCTTCTAATGATTTGTTTTAAATATGAGTAGTTGTGACTTTATACTTTCTTTCAGATGCTAAAGGCGCAAATTACATGTGTGTAATAGAAACAAATGTTATGAACGACCCATTTGGTAGATGTGCCCGTGGTAGGTGTCTCAGTAGGTAGGTACTCAGAAAATTTCAACTTATTTATTTTCTAAAACTATTCCATATGCTGTGCATATTCTGTAGACTTCAGAAAAGCCAAGAAATATATACACATACATATATATCATATATTAGTTATATATTTTATATTTATATATGTATATAATAAAGATTTATACCCTGGGATTCATAAAACAGTGCATGTGTAAAACACTTCAGCATTAATTTCAAAAATTTTTGAGTTAAAGTTATAAAAGTTATCATTGACCTAATAAATTGCACATTGACTATGTTGACTAAAGAATTACTTTTACTACCTCATACCTGTAGTCACGTGTTTTGTGGAAACCTGGTTTGTGCATGGAAAACTACAAATTTAATACAATCAAAAAAGTTTGACTATCAATACACTTTTTATGGAGATCAATTATGTGTGTCTGCAGCACCAAGAAATGATTCCAGAACAGGCCCACACATGGTGGAAGATGGAACCACGTGCGGAGAAGACAGGGCAAGTTAAAATTTTACTGTAAATTATACACAGTGATTTTCTCTATCTCTTTCTCTCCCTCTCTCTCCTCTCTCTCTGTCTCAAAGGAAAGCTTATAGCAAGTCCCAACTACATCAAGAAGTTGAAAGAATACCAAATAAATAACCAAAAATGTCTCTCAACGACTTGGAATAACAGGAACAAAGCAAACCCCCAAACTAGCAGAATGAAAGGAATTATTTAAAAAAAATTGAAAAGCTATAGAAAAGATCAGAGAAATCAAGTTACGTTTTAAATATGTGAATTTATTTTGAAATGCAAATTTTAGAGAGAGAGAAGGAGAGAAATAGAGAAGGTCTTCTATTCACTGGTTCACTCCCCAAATGGCTGCGAAGGCTGAGGCTGAGCTGATCCGAAGCTGGGAGCCAGGAGCTTCCTTCAGGCCTCTCACATGGGTGGCAGGTTTCTAAGGATCTGGGTTGTCCTCTGCTGTTTCCCCAGGCTCGAAGCCGAGAGCTGGAGTGGAAGTGGTAAAGCTAGGATATGAACAGTGTCCATATCACTGGCCTCTAGTTAGTCTTTTGGAAAAAGAAAAGAAGATAAACAATTAGCCCCATTAACCGAAAATTAGGGTTGGCGAGAGAAGACTCAGATTCATATTAGAGATGAAAATGGAGGTGTTAGAACTGATAAAACAAAGGTCACTCTCTCTTCCTCCATCTTTCATTGCTTCTCTGCCTTTAAAATTAACAAATAAATCTTCAAAAAGGGAAGATTTCAGTATAAAGTTAATTGATTAGGATTCGAGGGATCCTAAATTAGTTGCTAACATTATGTAATAAGGGTAAAGTTTCTAGGAGATGTTGTAATTTGTCAGTAAGGGATGGAAGGTACTAAAAATTGATCTGATTTTTATCTGAAAATAAAATTGTCTAAAAGATAAGCCAATGTCATTTAAAAAGCTTACTTTTGATGATGTTTACATAGCTGAATAAAATGGAAAGGGTCAAGATTAGGGGCAAGTGGGTAAGACCATTGTGTCCAAATTTTCTTTTTCTTCTTCCTGTATCTAATGGGAGAAGCTGCAGCAAGCCTCACAAATGTCTCAGTACTTGGGGATGGGATACAGCCACCCAGTATCACTCCAGGGTCCCTGATATGAGCATGCACCAAGAGTTCTGCATAAGTGGCTTTGGCAGTTCTCACATGCTGCCCATCTCGCCAGTCCAAGGATCAGAAAATCCCAAGGACTGACATGGAGTTTCCATTCATCCAGAAATTTGCTGTCAACATTTGGCTAGGGTAGTTGACCAATTCTGTCCTTCCTTCACTATGGTTCCAGATGTCCTTTGCAAGGGCATATCCCTCCATGTGCATTTTGATATGCCATCCACTGCTCTGACTAAGCCATGTAGGAGGCCTAGTTCTGACACATGCACACTATGGTAAGACCATAGTTCCTGCGACTTTCCCCATGGTTAGAGTAGTTAATTCCAACAGTTCATTGGGCGGGGGGGATGGATTTCCAAAGAAATCTTGTCTGAAGTGATCCTAAACCTGATTTGGGTCTGCTTGCCACTATGTGGTCCTGCTCATGCTATCACCCCCATGTGCCTACATACACATTGGTACTTGTAATTGTTGGGTCAGTTCTGCCACCAGTCCTATCTCTTACGTAAATCAATGAATGTTGCGGCACAGCCAAATCCTGCCCACCACACACTTGGCCCTCATGTATACCAATGGGAAGAGCAACCTAGTTGGAGCGATTCCCAATAACCCCACTAGACCCACCCCAAATCCTAGTTCCTGCACATGCCAGAAGGTGCAACAGACTGGTCCACTCTGCCCCACATGCCATGCAGCTCTCCTATATGTTAATTGGCATTGAACCCTAGTTCAACCCAATTGTCCTCAATATCCAGTGCACATTCATGCCAGTTGTGCCACAGCCTGTCTAGCCAGTCCTGCTCCCAGCCCTAATTCTCATGCCCATCAGTGGAAGCTGCTGCCTATAAGAGAAGTGCCTACATGTCTGGACCAAATTCCAGTTCTCATGCTCACCAGTGGGAACAGTGACCCAGCAGGGGAGCCCCCAACAGCCTCACTGCCGGCTCAGCACCCACCCCCAAATCAGGTCTTGTGTGTGCTGGTGGATGCTGTGGCCCAGCCTGACATGGCCTATCTCACTTTGGCATTGGTTGGTGGGTATTGTGTCCTGGTCTAGCCGGGTCTGCTCCCAGTTCCAGCTCATGCTGGTGTGTAACACAACCTATCCCTGCCCAGCCAATCTCTCAGTCCTACGCCTAATATGACTTGGCTGGTGATGCAGCCTAACCCAACTTGTCCAGCAGCCAGTCCTGGTTGTCAGTGGGTTTTATAAACTGACCTACCCTAAAATGTCCCCAGAGATGACCCACACATATGCCAGTGGGTACTACCTGGCCTGGTCTGGGCTGCTGCAGCCAGGGTTCTTCATTCACCTGCAGGGAATGCACCCTAACAGAGGAGTTCCCCAAGCTCCTCTATCAGGTCTCTGCCCAGTGGCAGAACTTGTGCAGACCTATAGGTCCTTGCCCCAGCCTGACATAGTCCATCTCCTGACCTGGCATGTATAGTGGCTTGCCCAACTGGCCCACACACATTCCAATTCTTTTTTTTTTTAAAGATTTATTTTTATTATTTTTTTATTGGAAAGGCAGATATACAGAGAGGAGAGACAGAGAGGAAGATCTTCCGTCCGATGATTCACTTCCCAAGTGAGCGCAACAGCCGATGCTATGCCGATCCTAAGCCAGGAGACTCTTCCGGGTCTCCCACACAGGTGCAGGGTCCCAAAGCCTTGGGCCGTCCTCAACTGCTTTCCCAGGCCACAGACAGGGAGCTGGAAGGGAAGTGGGGCTGCCGGGATTAGAACCGGCGCCCATATGGGATCCCGGGCGTGCAAGGCGAGGACTTAACCACTTGCGCCACTGCGCCGGGCCCCACATTCCAATTCTTACTGTTGAGTGCTACGTCCCAGTCACACTTGGTGCATGACCAGAAACAGCTCGCATGTGGTTCAGCAGGGGTCAAGACCTAGCCCATCCTACTCCCACTCTGGCTGTCATGAGCACCATAGGTGTGGGCATCTAGCCCAGTCTGGCACACTCAAGACCCAGTCCACATCCATGCTGAGGGACACTGCAGTCTTGTCCAGCCCAGATCATTCACCCACCCCCATTCTTGCTCTTGCACTCACCAGTGGGAGCCACAATCCAGTTGGGGTATCCCCTTAGCTCTCCAACCAGGCCTGTTCCTGGCCACAGATCTTGTGTGTGCCGGTTGTTTTTCTGACCCATGTTGGCATAGCCCACCCTTTCCCCATCTTGGCCTTTGTTATATGATGCTGCAGTCTGGGTTTGTTCTGGTCTGCCTCCAGTCCCAACTCTTGCTGGCAGGTGTTGCAGCCTAGCCCTGCCCAGTCTACTCCCATCCCTGACTCATACAAATAGGGGAATGTCAGCCTCACCTGGCAGGACCCATACTTCCCCTGGCTCCTGCTCATGCCAGTGGGCTAAGGTTGGCCCAACCCTGCCCTGGCCACCCCACTGCATAACAAACCC